ACAAATGTTAAACAAAATGCAATGTGGTAGAAGAAAACAGAAAAAAAACTAAACAGAAAACGAGCGTTGTGCTCACAAAAAATAACATGAAATTAAAATAATGCCAAATCTCTTTGGTTTGAGAGAAGAAAAAAAACGAAACATAAAGTCTTTTGTTTCGCGAAAATTGTGTGCTCAAAAGCGAGCAAACGATGTGCGTGCTAATGGGAATATACTGGTGTCGCACAATAATTGCATACAAGTTAACGAGAGAAATTATATAAAAAATATTCAAATGAAATCGAAAGGAATGTCGATTGATCAACCATATTACCTTGAGTATTACAAATTGTTTGCTCGGACATCGTACTTTTGAGTGTTTCCTCTGCTTTCTTTCTGGAACAGTTCAAACAATGTGATTTGAGTTTTTTCCGTGGCGAATAGCTAACGGTGGTTTCAATTACTTCTTCAAACCTGAAGCGATACATTTTTGCTAAGAAAATTGTGTGCACTTGGTTCTTGTTTTCAGCGTACAATTAAATTGTGACATTTTGACACTTTCATTTTGTTGTGGCCAACTTCACGTTGTATGGGTTATTTACAATAGCGACAACACCAAAATGGGTCTTTGTTATTTCCACGATTTTCATTTTATTCATGTCCCAATACAAGAAAAACACCATTGACCATTTTTTTTTATTTATTTTTTATTATTTACACATTTCTTTCTTCTTAAAAACAAAGCGATATGATAGATTGAAATTTAATTCACGTGTTTTTTTTTGTTGTAAGAAAGAATTGAACCTATGCACAGGATTAATTGTCTATACTCTGTTGTTTAATTGAAGGCTCTAAATTATGGTCAATATTATCATTATAAATGGTTTTTGGAGATGGTATTTTTTTTTATCTCATTTTGTTAGGCTTAAATTTGCGTATGTGTGTGTGTGTGTGTTTGTGTATAAAAAATCGCATGTAAACGAATGCATGCATGAAATTGAAAAAAAAACTTCGAATTGATTTTCGCTTTTGTTGTTAAATTTTTTTTTCGCAGAAATATGAATACCTTGTCTAATTGATTATTTATTTATACAAAGTACAAAACTGGTTTAAACCTTATCAAAGAAAATAGTGTGTATAAATAAAATGTGAATAACGAACAGTTATTTGCTTTTTTTTTGTTTCTCGTTTCTGTTATCATATCCCCAAAAATGCTGAAGTCATAAATACAAATACAAATATTATTAAATAAGGCACACAATTGCTATTCATTCTTCTGATTGGTTGTTGTTTTCTTCTATTTTTAATTTGACGCGTTTTGCTTCTTCCTTTTTTCCTGAATCGATTTTCCTTCCATAAATTATATCAAATAAGAAAAAAAATGATTGAATCGCCAAAGCATTCAATGTGCATAGGGAAATGCTTAGTTCGGATTGAAATTCGAATTGTATATCCATTCGGGGTAAGGAAAATGTTTCGGATGAATCAGTTGATCGCTCTTTTTCATTTTATTGCATTATTTGTCCATTCAATTCGATAGTCCGAATTGTACAGAGAGTTTGAATATGCTTGCTAACCCAAATAAATATTATATTGCGCGCACTTTTGTTGTTGCTTCTTTCTTCTCCTCTATTTTTCTGTCTTGTGTTCTTCCATAAAGGTTATTGAGCTGCATAATTACTGTTGCCCATACGCCATTTTTTCCGACTTTGAATGCAGTCATAAAAATTTATGTATTGGCTACATTTTGAGCTGAATTATTTTCATAAATAACAATTAACATATGTAATATTGTTGTGTCATCACATGATTAACATGCTGTAATTCATATATACGTTTGCCTTTTTGTTCTTGTTGTAATGCTTTTATATATATGTATTTATATATGCAATGAAAATTTGGATTGAGATAAGGTCGATTGTTCTTTTCGGAAATTGTTACAAATATTCATCTTGATTGGCTGTCATTATGCTTATTGGCTATAGTTGTAATCAGATTACAATTTTGGGAAAATTGAAAATCGGCTATCATTGATAAAGTACTTGATGATTATCGTTGGATAAACGGTTATTTTTGTGAGTGTTGTTGTTTTTATTTGTGTCTCAGCGTGTATGCATATATATATATATATTTGTGTGTATGTGTGTGGGTCGACTATCGGTTTCTGTTTGCCTTCTGCTATTAGAAATAATGTGGCCAATTAACATAGAAATGTTTATGTGTTCGTTAATTGATTTATATGTGTGCTGGTTCGACATAATTAGCTGGTAACATCCCGGTTTGGCCTGTGCGCTCAACACGGCCTGTCATCCAGCCAGCATCAATGGAATCGACTTCGAAAATCAGATCGCCTTCGGTAAAGCTGACTTCATCGGTATCTTGTGCCTCATAATCGTACAGAGCTCGAAACACGCGCTGCAAAACCCGAAAGAAAAACAAAAGAAAATTAGAACGGGAAAAAATATGGAAAATTAATAGAGAGAGAGAGAGAGAGCTTTTTGATTCTACGCATATGTTCAGTTGTGGCACTTCAACTTGAACTCACCACTTGTGACGAGATTGACTTTTGAATTGGTTTCTGTTGAATAGCTGACTGAGGTTGCGGCTGCTGCTGCTGCTGGGCATAGTGTAATTGGTGGTGGTGTGCTGGTTGCTGTTGTGGCTGAGAATGTGATTGATGCGCGTAACTGTTGTATTCCATCGACCCATATACACCGTTTATTGGATCGATATCCGCAACGGAACCAATCTTTCGCGGTTGACTATTGTTAACTGAAACAAATGCAAAGCGGTTTATTTGAAAATGTAATTTGCTAAAGAATTGTGTACGGTATCTATCGTATCATATACACGGTTCACAGAAACAGAGCTAAGTAGAATATACACATTTAGCGTGCAAGCATATGCACACAGTACACAAATGGCAGTCGCACTTTATGACGGAAAAAGCTTGAATTTTTTATTCGACTGTGTCCGCAATTTCAACAAACATTAAGCATACGAAGAACGGAAAAGTAATTTCAAAATTGAAAATGATGTCCGTACGAATGATGAATATTTCAAACAATGAGGACGTTGGACGTTGATAATATGTCGAAGTGTGTATCGACAAGCGGATGGTTGCAATAATTCGTTGCATTATTCAGTAATGTGTATGTGTTCGGTGCGTATTCATATGTGTATGTATGTGTGTGTATTTATGTTCTTACCCATTCCACGATCTGAGCTGTAAATGAGAGTCGAACTGGGTCGGGTGGTGTTTGGAATATTTCGTGGTCCATCGGTAATAGGATCATAATCTGATATTTTTCCGATTTCTCCTCCTCCTCCTCCTTGAATTGCATTCGAATTCATCGCACTATAGTCCCGACTGTAGACGTGATTATTTACACCGTATGCAACGGTGTTTGCATGCCCAATATTATTTCCGGCAATATTGTTACTACCATATCCTTGGACACCTGTATGATGAGCATTATTGTAAGCCATTTGTATATTCGCATGATTATTGTTTATGTTATTCATGGTGTTGTTATTGTAGGTGTGCGTATTTTGTGCGATCGGTCGTGCGTAATTCTCGTATTGGTCATAGTACTGCTGCTGCAGTTGCTGTTGAAGTTGTTGTTGGTGTTGTTGGTGTTGGTGTTGTTGTTGTTGTTGCTGTTGCTGCTGCTGCTGCTGCTGTTGCTGAGAAGGTTTGTGGTTGGCCATCATTGACTTGGCAATGCCGGCTTGCTGTTGCTGTGACAAACTATGGTTCACATGTTGAGAGTACGGTGTCGTGGTTACCGTTTGCAATGATTTTTGTTGCTGACTATTTTGCGGTGCGCTCATGTATTGCTGAATCGGTACGATGGGATTCTGTGCATGCTTTGGTTGTGGTTGATACTGCGATAACGATTCAGCGGCTAATGTCTCTGAGAAATATTCAGATTCATTGTCTGGAATGGTCATCATTATCGCGAACACACGCGAGCGCACGACACGTGAATGACGGTGCGAAAAGTCGAGTGAATGCATGACAATGACAGAGCGGGAGCGAGAGCGAGAGAGAGAAAAAAAAGAAAAAGGAAGACAAACACAAAAATTGTTACAATGGCTTCAATGAATCGTCTTCAATGATAAACTAATGGTGGTGATGGTGGTGTGGTAGACGAGAAAGAAATAGTGAGTAAAATTACAAATGAAATATACAAAAACAATGATGATGATGATGATTAGTTGGCAGAGAACGCGAAGAACACACAAAACAATTTATCACACCACAAATGTTAAACAAAATGCAATGTGGTAGAAGAAAACAGAAAAAAATTTAACAGAAAACGAGCGTTGTGCTCACAAAAAATAACATGAAATTAAAATAATGCCAAATCTCTTTGGTTTGAGAGAAGAAAAAAAAACGAAACATAAAGTCTTTTGTTTCGCGAAAATCTTGTGCTGATTGTGTGTTTCTTGCGCTTCATCATTTTAAAAGCGAGCGCGCGATGTGCGTGCAAATGCGAAATTACTTTTGCCACACCAGATGAATGGCACAAAATTTAACGAGAGAAGTAATCTATATATATGAACTAAAAAAACGCCTTCAAACGAAATCAAGAGGAACAGTTAACCAAATTACCTCTATTATCGGCGATCTCTGCCACCTCTCGCTGCTTTTCCATAGCGGCTTTCTTTTCCAAATCACCATGGTATGCAACATTCGATATGATTTTCGAGTTCTGTTTCATACGAAGTGTTTCCGGATCGTCTGCCACCTAAACTCGAGCAAACAAACAAGAGAAGACGAAACCCAAAAAGAAGAGAAAGAAAAAGAAAAATTAAGATGAAGATGATAATCATACAAATTTAATCATTAAAATTTTTCCGAAATATTGAATTTTAAGTGGTATTCAACGCCCGCGAATCACTTGATTTATTTATTCCGAGTGGCGGCGATACATACTCAGTGTGCATGTGTGTGGTAAAATTACTCTTTTTTTTCTCCTCAGCCATTGAATAATTGATAAATAGAATGAATTTTTGAATAAATATCGAACCTGTGTCAGTTTTCCCTTTTGCTTTTCAAAGTCCGCATGGTACATAACATTCGATTGGATCTTTGTATTTTCTGCTATTCGTTTGAGTTCGGGCGTATCAGCGATTGCGGTCGCCTTCGCTTTCGGAATGTGGCTGTAAAAAATTGAAAAAAAAAAAAAGAAAAAACCTTTAAATTTTGAAGAAAAACAAATATTCTGGGGGAAAGCAGAAATTACATCACGAAACGAAAGAAAAAAAATCGATTCAAGCATTCGTGGTCTTGGACTATAATTGTAGTACTATTCCGCGTGTGTGTTCTAATCTCGACAACGACAATAGCAATCATATCGTTTCGAACACAATCGATGGAAATTTTAAAGACTATTCAATTTATATTTGTTCGACTTTAGAAATGGGAGGAAATGTATGTCATACAAAGAAAAAAAGAAATAAAATCAAACTGTTACACAATCCAGTTTTTTTCTTTCTATATTCCTTTTCATGTTCATCCAGAAAGCAAGAGAGAGATAGAGAGAGAGAGAGGAAGAGAGAGAGAGACAGAGAGAAGGTGAAAGCATGCTGGAAAATTGCTGTCCATTTAATTGTAGAGTCCTGTCGATACATGGCTGGTATGGTCAAACACTTGATGAAAAAAAAAAGTGTGTTGCGTGGCAGTTATGTGTTCATTGTATCACATTTATCGATTTTCCATTCATTTACCGAATAACGACTCATTTTAAAATTAAATTCAACTATATGTACACATGTTCTATCTATCACCATTCGAGATGGATAAAATCCACAGCCACACATGCACACAGTCACCCGCCATGAGCGAGTGAGAGAAAATGTTCTAAAAGTAAAAACATGTAGATCATAATGTTGCTGATTATGTTGCTTATGTGCATCACTTAGCGTTGAGTGCATATTGAGTCGAATGTGTGTTGCAGTACAAGTACTTACACACACACACACACACAATTGTGAGGAAGAGTAAACACAAAGCGCAAACGATAAAACTGTTTATATAAAGTTTTCGGAAAATGGATTGCGCCGAGCTGCAATGCAATGAGTGAGCAACAAATACGGCCATAGAAAGATGTATCCATTTTTATAGCAACAATAACAACAACAACAAGAGAAGAACAACGACGGCACAGCGAGATAATAGCTATGGGTGCGTTTTCAAGGAGGGTAAAACGTTGCAATAAACAGCAATGTTGGAAAGGCATAACAGAGGATAATTTCTTCTTCATCATCATCTCCGTTGAGGAAATGCAACAGAATCCATTCGGTTTAACTACATTCAATTTAAAAACGGTGAAGAAATTTCTTTTCTCTTTTCTTTATATGATTTTTGTTTCTTCTTGCTGCATCTGTACCTCCTTTCAATAACATCAAAGATGCTGGCCTCTCGCACATAGAAGCTTCTTGACAAAGTGTTAAACACATGCTCGACTATGGCTTAGTCGCATAGCGTTGATGTTTGTGTTCCGTTGTTCGCTCGCCATTGCAATCTTGTGTACGTTAATGCGATGAGCTATCAGATGCAGAGAAACGTACATAAGTTCATCGCTCCGTATACACCGTAGAAAGTAAACTCTTTAAATCGTTCAGCTCAGGGCAACTGCTGTTTTGCCGTGCGCGCTCTCTTTTTCGCTCTCCTAATGATAACACGATGTGTATTTGCCGCGCGCTCAATAGGTAGTACTACATAATCGAGTAATCGTTACACGTTTCATGTGCATCATCATCATCATCATCATCAGCAGCAGCAGCAGCAGCAGCAGCAGCAGCAGCAGCAGCAGCAGCAGTACAAACACAAATAAACCACTCTCATGGATGCAATAACAATATCCAAACGTTACTCTGCATTACGTCGCCCGACGAATTTGTAATAATTTTTTATGGGATATCGAACAAAAAACGAGAAGAGAAAAACAAAACAAATAAAAATAGTCACCATATCGAGAGCGAGCGCGTGTACAAAGCTCTGAGCCAACGAGCACGGAATTTGCATTGAATTCGAAAATCCATTTTTATACGTTTTTTTTCGTTTTTGTTTCTCTACGCGATGCGTATATATCTTTGCGTCTTATTAAATATGCAGAATGCGCACACAACCGATACCATAGAATATTTCATCATTGAACGCAATGTTCTCATCAATTTTTATATTTATGTTCATAATGCAAGATTGCAATAAAATTCGCTCGCTTTATGCTTTTATTTTTCTGTATGCGATGTATAAATGGGAAAAGAAGCAAACACACACACACACACTCGCCGCGCTCATGACTAACGAACGAGAAACAAATGGAAAATATGGAAGAGATCAAAACCTATATTCATATTTCATTAGCTGAGTTATTCTAATTAAAAGTTTAGCTCAATTTGATACATTCAGTTCTAACGAAGCACACCGCACGTTGTGTGTGTGTGTGTGTGTGTGTGTGTGTGTGTGTGCTAGCTGCTATTTTTGTTGTTGTTTCCCTCCTTATTTCCGTCATTCGACATTCTTGCGGCGAAGGAGGAAAAAACAATGCGGATTATTGTAAAATGAAACGAAAAAAGAAGAAGAGAAGAGCATTAAATCTATTTGGACGACGTAAAATTATACAGCACGTTTAGAATGTCGATGGCATCGACGGATGCTTGAGCGACAAAGCAAAAACAAGCCATTTTTGGGCGAGTATGCGAAATGAAGCGTATCTTTTTGGGGTAATTTCAAACGACCGAAATAACCGATGACAACATCATCATCAACAACGTTTTTACAACTCTTCTTATTGCTGTTACTTCTCTCGTTGGACTTCTACTCGTCTCGCATATATTTATCTCGTTGGTTTTTTAGATCAAGTAGTCCGAACGAGAAAATGTATTTAGCAAGTGCTCGATGAGTAGAAACGCAGTGCCGCCTTTCGTTTCTCTCCATCAAACTTAAACTCAATTTCAAACCGTGTATTTGCATTCGAAATTCAATCATAGCGACGACGATGACTTTTCATCAATGCCTCGAAAAATTCAATGTGGCACACATGGGCTTATACAAAATCAGTAACGAAGTGAAAACTGGAATGCTTAATTTCAATCTCGAATGCCAAAACAAACACCAAAATCAGACGACGAGGACGCACGCAATCATCACGCTGTTGATCGAAAATGAATTTGCAAACATGTAAAACGGTTACTTTTTTTTGGATACGACAGCAACTTTTTGTTGTAACAATAACAATAAAATTGATTAAAGACATTTGGACCTATCGTTTATACATTGCTTTTGTTGCTTCACACACACAAGTGTTGTACCAGTTTTTTTTTCTTTTATTAATTTTAGTTTATCTTGTCAACTAATTACGGGCGAAAGCAATACATAACACCAACATAGTTTTAACTAAAAGGAAAAAAAATAAAACTATGAAATGGCCTTTTCTCCTCTGATCGCAAATTGTGATTCACAATCCATTGAAACAATACATGGAAGTATGAATGGAATAAAAAAAATAACGCTGACTTGAATTAGGACAACAACAACAACAACAGCAAAAATTACTCGCTACTAAATGTTACTCTTCGCTTACATATCTCGATAGATCTCTACACATTATTCACATTAATTGCTGATTCGTTAAAGATATGGATAGAGAGCGCGAGATGGAGCGCGACAGAAATGATACAGAGCGAAAGAAACACAAACGAATAGAATCTATTTGTAAGTGACAACTTATGCGGCAATGTAAAGGGGGAAACGAATGGAACATTCAAGTGGAAATACGGTTTGGTCGGTTAAGGTTTAAGAACTTCTAAGCGTAGAATGAATAGTCGAGGTGGAGAGAGAACAATGGATTTTTAATAACACACAAACACACAACGTGATTGTAGTTTGCCGTTTTTTTAGAGCGTAATAAAAATCCATGTGCCAACATCCAGTTTTGGTTTCTTTATACGATAAAAATACATTTGAGTATTTATTTTGCGCGGATATGCGTTGAAATCGAATGACGCAAACATTTTGACTGCACACATTTTAATCACCATAAAAACATTCGCACAAACCAATCAAAGCAAAGTGATTTGCAAGTCATGCTTTTTTTCTATGATGATATTATACATTTTTTTCTCTCTGTTTCTTCGTCTTCGGGTGCCGCTGTTCATTTGTTTCAACGAAGCCACGGGATTTTCATCAATTCGGATTAACATGCAGACATTCCATTGAGTGGCATCCAATCAATTCATTCAATGTGATCGAGCGTAGTAGCGGCGCGACTGAATCAAACCGCAATTACTGTGAATGAATTCATTAAGTGAAAGTAAAGCGAGGCAACGAACAACAATATCAACAGAAGAAGAAAGAAAAACGGTGTGTGTAAGGCAACATTGAGCGGGAAAAAAATGAGCGCACACAAAGCCATCTAGTAATTCATCAATCGAACGAAATTACACACAATGAACTTCATTCACATGGGTTTGCGTTTTACAGTTTCTCGAGCCACACGATGGAAACGAATGTTCGGTGTTAATTGTCTGCATATCCCCTCATCTAAAGTGGCGTTATCTGCACTCTCTGTGTGCGCATTCACTCAATTTTCAATTGAATGCGTGTGCTATGGCAGCGGCAGTAGAAACAGAGAAAAAAAAAACATTTTTTTTGTTTATTCTTCCTTTTACGATAACACGATGACGTCGCATGCAAAAACACAATGCAAAGTGAAACTTTGCTGTTGCTATTTGTGTGTGGCTCGGCTTCGTATCTTATTTTTTTGCAACATTTTTTTCGGTTCAGGCATTCAGCTTTTGTTCGCGCGTTTGTTGTTCGTTTGCGTGTAAACAGTCAATGACAGTGTTTAGCATAACAATGAAGCCACTACAACTTCATTTAGCACCAGAAATAAGATCGACAGGCGATCTATGCGTCGGTTCATAACTCTATTTTGAAATATGATGTATATTTTGACGTGAATTCATTGAAATAATAAAGAGACAGAAAACACAAACAACAACAACGCAGCATCCTTAACGTTGTCAACCGTCAAGTGTTTCCTTTTCTGTCGGGACTGACTGTTTAATGCATTTTGCGGTGATGTGTGTGTGTTTACCGTATTCATTTCGTTAATCGCGCGAATGGACGTGCGTGCGCGCCTTATTCATACACAATAATCAGTTTCGTTTGATTTTTCCATTTATGTAATTGAAATAAGCGGCTGCGATATTTCATAGATACATATATTCTTCGGCACGTTTTTAAAAACTTTGTAGTCGTGTGCTGCTGCTGCTGCTGCTGCTGCTGCTTCTCTCTAACTCTCCGATTCGGATTAATGTTGCAGCCATGTGAAAGCCTTTCTTTATGATTTAATTATCATATTGTCTGGTTGATGTTTGCATCATGTTTTAGTTGCTCTCTCATGCTCATTCAATGTGCAAACGCGTTCGCTTCAACTTTCATTTTCCATAAATACAAACGCAGTCATCGTCCATATTAGGCTGTCTTCCGCTATTTTACGCAAAATGAAAACAACAATGAAACCGAGCAACGACGACGACGACGGCGACGGCGACGACAACAAATGCAACAACAAAAATGAGATGGAAGAAAAAAACACAAACAATCACACATACAAACACAAACACACATGGGCTCAGTCGCTCGCGAGCCACGCCGAGCTGAGAGCACCAGAAGCAGACCAATGCGGTTTTTGTGCAGTAAATAAAATATTATCCATGTTGAAATTTGTTTAAATTTGCATTCAATCAAAACCATTCTAGCCATTACCATATTAGGTCAATGGGATTCATGTGGCTTTGCAGAGTGTATTCGTTTTCATTTTGGATTTGGTTGCCGTTGTTGTTGTTGCTGGTTTTTTATTTTTTTTATTGTTATTTTCGGGATGGTTACTTTGCAGAGAAGTGTGTGTGTGTGTGTGTGTGTGTGTGTGACTATGCAATTAAAAAAGGCATATACACGCATCTGGCTGTTGACCCAATGCCCATTTCCATTCAATTTTCGGTTTCCATTTGAATTGAAAACGGCTTTCAAATTCATTCGAAATGTAGTAACAACGTCGTTGGAGTTTGTTGTCACACCACCCGCCCGCACACAATTCTCGTTTCGAAGTGCATTCGCATTCGCATTTTCATTTGTAATATAGAAATTCGGATGCACTCTACTCTCTTTCTCTGTCTCTACACGACAAACAACTGAAATGAAAATGAAACTGAATACACAAACCATTAATCAACACAAGCGGATGATTCAGTGAATTTTTACCCATTGTTCTACTGTACATAGTAGGCACGATACTCGGTATTCAGTATGTTATGCCGATATAAACGAAACGAGTACGCTACCACTTTATGAAATTCCATTATTTCACAGTTTAACTCTATAGATTTATTTTTCTCCATTTTTTTTTTCATTTCCAAGCGATATTCTGCCGGTTTTTTTCGGCGAAATTTATGTGTCGCGTTGATTCAAATTTCACTATCAGTTGACACATATATTCAATGCGCGTCGAATAAAAGAGCAGCTGATAAGGAGAAACATTTACCCTTCGCATAGTTTATCAAAAGTGAGTCATTGCATATTATTTTTATTTCTTTGCGCTATAGATAAAACATGGGTGGGTATGCCTGTTCTTGAAATTCAGTTGAGCAGCGCTACGATGAATCGGCAGAGTCGGCGCATTTTATTACGGGCAATACATATAATCTGTCGGGCGGTTTACGTAATTTCTAGTGGGTTCTAATACAGGCGAAAATTATGATGATCGTAGACAACTGAAAACTACAATATCCATTTTCAGCGTGATCATTCTTTCTTTATTCGGAATTATTCATTGGCGATTATGCCTTAAATTGCATTTGCTAAGGTTAATTCTGTTCGTGAGCTGCTCTCTCTCTCTCTCCCTCTCTTTCTGTTCCTAATGTTACCGGATCTCACTGGGGAGATTGAATTAAGGAACAAACAGTTATATTTATAAAACTGTTCTTCCCAGAATTAAGATCGAATAAATTTGCAAAATGTAAATTCACTTGCATTAACATTTGAATATCTACGATACATTGTACGTATTTTGTTTTATGGTTTGATTTATGGGCGATTTCGAGGTTAAAGTCAGTGTTCGTTTGTTCTTACAATCGTATTATCGTAATTGATTCGAAAAACCTTGCTTTTGCTGCTGGTCGCTGTTATCATCGCCAAAAAGCACTTTAGACAATGGTTATTCGACTCCGTCGTCATCGTCATATACATTTCGGTCTTATCATTTGATTTTGCTTCTTTTTCTTCCACTCCATAAAGCTCAATGCGAACATATTGCGGAGGAATCACATACATATATATATTCGCTTATGATTTCCAATTCATTTTTGTGATTACATTGAAATTACTGGTTTGATTGAAAACGCTGTTGCTCATTTGTGTTCCATTCGGATCGGATTCGTTTATCTGCTGCGAGAACGAGAGAAAGATAAATAGAGAGAACGAGAGCTTGTAGCCGTCGGAAAAGCGGGCACACGCAACGTATTATAATAAGTATAATGTAATCGGTTCATTAAATTCACATCAATTGAATTCAATGAATATTTGAATCAAAACTCGACGCAAAAAGGCGGTCGATGCGAGAAAGAGAACAAAAAAAACCAACGCCAGAGATAGTGGCAGACTCCATATGAAATGTTTAGAACATTGGTGTGCGCTCACTGAAAATGCCTTTGGACGCAATGCATTTCGATATGAAATGAATCTGCCGTCGCCGCTGCCACGGCTGCTTATGAAATTATGGTTGCTTGTGTATGCACACCACAAAACCATATTTACCCGTTGACGTTCCAGCCAACCAGCCGAACGGAACTAAATCATTGAATTATTAAAATCAATTACATTTGATGCGTTCGTATGGTTAAAAGTTGATCATTATGAATTTGATGATATATTTGTATATCTGTTGGTATGCTGGAATCGGAATTACATTAAATAGTTTTAATCCGATTGTCTAATGAATCAGAACTATTGTGGATTCCGACATTTCCTGCCATTTGACTATATCCAGATGTATATATATTTCTCCGAGTTGTCATTTCGGTTTCTTTTTTTCTCCGGTCTCTGTCTCTGACTCTCTTACGTCGTACTGCTCCGAAAAGGAATTTTAACACCAAATTTATTGACTCTGCAGTAGTCAAATGCAATGAATACTTACGCCTCACAGTATGGTAGTTTGTTGAACCCTTTGTATGTTTTCATGTTCAGCGTCATGCCACACTCGTGACATTTGAAGCATGTTTTGTGCCATGTCTGTAAAGAGAAAACAGGGAACATAAGTCAAAAAAGAAAACAAAACAGAAAAAAAATCTTATTTGAAAAAGAAGGAAAAAAGACAGAAAAACAACAATGCACTCAAAACAAAAACGACAGAAGAAAGAAGAAACAAAATCTCAGAAATATATGTAAAAAAAGACAATCTTTTGACTACTGGACAATGGAGAAAGTTTCCAATGTGCATGTGACGATAGCAAGTTGGTATTTTAAGTCGAATCGCGTATTCTAGGTGAGTGGCTCTAATCACATGATAAATTCCAATGGTATTTCGTCGGCGCGTAGTATTTATTATGGAATTTCAAAATGTGATTTCCGCTGTTGAAAGAAAAAATATATATTAAAAACAACAACGACGACGACGACGACAACGTTCTGTCAGCCATTAGATAACACAGGCGATAAACGTTCGACGATAAGCCTGATTAGTAGATAGCATATGCGAAATCCAAAAATTCTCATATGAAATATAAATGCCTATCAGTACGTATGTATCGAATGTTCATTAGATCGAGGCGAAAATGAATATTTTAGCAGTTCATTTGGATCATCCACAATATTTATGGGCATTTATGACATGTTTCTATTTTCGTTCTTTTCTGTTCTGTTTGCATGATATGTGGTGTTCGGTTCACTGAATACTTCACGCCCCAAAACTATATACGACTGTCTCCAATGAAATGCACGTTGTTTCAATTCGACACAACTTCTCCCCATGGAGAGAACGAGCCTTAATTTACATCAAATTGATGTTACACTTTTTTTTCGTGTGTTTGTGCTAGTTCCTGCTTTTTGCTTGCCCGCTCTTTTGTGCCCGTGTGCAGAAAGGTTGTTAGACGAAAAATGATCAAACTGAGTGTCGTAAATTTGTCAGTTGACAAAAGACGGAAACAATCTACGGTAAATAATCAGCAAACACGTACGTTGAGCAAAACAATTTTTCCCATATTTTCTCAAACGTCCGGCTGTTTGGCTGCTTATTAATACGTGTGAAACGCATTAAAAACCGAATGTCGAATATTTTGTATGTACACAAGACATAAGTGAAGAGAAGAAGAAAAAAAAAATCAAAGTCGCTCACTACAAATATTATTTTCGGTGCTTTGTTCTCCCTTTCCATTATTTTTTTTTCTCTTTTTCTCTCTCGCATCATTCTTCAGTTCGGCTGTGATGTATTTATGAAAGAAATGACGCTGCACGCCAATTTTGGAAAATGTTGAAATTTATCGCTTGACACACAGCTCATGCGAAGTTTATGCCATGAAATTGTGATCGCCTTTTGTATTATTTTTGTTTTTTCCTTTCTCTCTCTCTCTCTTAGGGCTATGTGTGTGAGAAATATTTCAAATTTTTCTCTGTGAATCAACGCAAAACCATTGAATTGAAACGAATTTAAAATTTGTGACGGTGACGATGCCAAAAATGTTCGCCTAAATCAAAATTCGGCTCGAATATTTTCTCGCCCGACACCGAAAGGTAGTGAGAAAAGAGAAACAAGCGCAAACATACCGAAGCTGAAGAAATTGACAAAGAAATTAGCTCAACTGACTTTGTGATAATGGTGATGGAATTGGGAGCGTACAGCTGTGAATCGGTGCTTTATGAGTGGAAGAAGAAGAAGAAAAAAACACGAAAATTCACAATTTCACCAAAATCGACCTACTCGGCGCTCATTTACAAATAAAAAATTCCAAAAATGAAGAAACGAATTCGCAACAGATTTTCATAAAGTTTCTTTCTTTTGTGATTGTACCAATTGTGCAACACAACATTTCCATGGCATTCGTCATTTGAATACTTATTATTACTAACTCATTTACGAGTGTAGAGCGAGAGAGTGGGAGAACAAAAAATATCACATTCAAAAAGGAACAGAGAAAAAAGCATTCATTTACCATATACGCGCAACGATTCGACAGAAGTATTTAAAAATATATGTATATATACACGTACATGTAGACATCGCCTCAAAGTGACGGCGCTCAACGTATGCGTTTCGCGACTTGAGAATAACATACGAAAAAAAAAAACGAAAAATCACGCTTCATGAGATCATTGCGATTCTAATGAAGCAAAAGTATCGTGGTTCGTTTATAATTTATGCATTCTTTCGACAAAAAAAAAACTAACGATATAATAAACAAATGAAATAATACCGAACGGTATTCGCCATTGAACAGAATAGAAAGACTTTTTTATTTTCAAAAACATGTCGTTATAAAGGCCGTTTGCGTATCACAGTTGCGGATTATTGTGTCAGAAAAAAAAAACTAATATATTGTTGGTTCTTTCACACCATCCATGCAACGGTCTCTTTGTTTGCATAGAACACCACAGCCGGAATGGACTTTTTCATTCTTTTTCTCTAGCTGTTATTTATCATATTTGGAATGTGATATTTTTGCGCAAATTTTGATGGAATAAAACGAAATTTTACGTAAAATAGAGAGGGACATACAAATACATAAAAGAAAAAGAAAAAATATCAAAATAAATTAGCTTGCAGAAGGCTGGCATTAAGGTGCTTGAACACTCCTTATGTTTGATGCAATCGGCGCGAAAGAGCAACGACTCCAAAAGGAAACAACGGCAACAGCAACGAAAAAAAAGAACAGTATTTTCTGCTGCAGCAAAAGAAAATAAAAATCAAACAAAATCATGGTGTGCTCATTGTTGGACGCATTGCCGACATGCGTCTGAGTTTTGTTGAGCATGAAAATACCAAAAGAATGTGCATCGTTCTCTCTATACTATTTTTTTTCCCTTCAATTGTCTTTGTTCTCATGCAATAGATTCATAACGTTCAATTACGGCTCTATGGACGCAATGGAATCATTGGGTTGGGCAACCGAATGAATGAATCGAACGGATGAACGAACGGCTGCACGAAAATAGAAGCGAGAAATTTTAAAATTGGTATTTTTGCTGATTACAGCTTGAGTAAGGTCAAGGTAAAACCATGTGGAAAGAGGCGCACACAAATAACAATAACACCAACAACAGCACAAAAATCCGAGCAAATGCCAAAATATTTTCTGCACACCTTTCGTCATTGACCGAAAACAGTAAAATAAAACAACATTTGTACGCACCACAGCATAAATGAGCGCACGAATTAAAAACCGCTTCGGTTTCAATTTACAAATACTGAGCATTCTATTTTTGCGGCCATTTGATTTCGGGTCATTTTTGCAAAGAATTTAACCAAGAAAAAAGAATAACAAAATTAGATCGGATAACATATAACAGCGAAAGAGAGAGAGAGAGAAAGACAGATAGAGAGAATGGTAATGACCAATAAAAAAATATTTTGCTGTCTCAACCGAATGAAACATGTCTATTTTGTAAAACAATACACGCCAGTCATGCGTTTCATTGCTGCGTTCTTGCAACAAACAATGCTGCATTTCTGTGGTTTGTTGTGTGTGAGTGTTGCTTGATTTTTTGCGCGCGCGCCCAAACGAATGACCAAAACGAATGACCAAAACGACTGAGAGCGTAAGAGTGAGATAAAAATGCAATTAAGTATTTCTATTAATAATGGCCGATGCAAAATAGCCAAAGAAATGAATGTTTTTAATTAGCGTTCATTTGAATAACTATCAGTTGGTTGAGCGTGTTCTTTTTTCGGTGTATCGGAACAGTTAGTGAACCGTGACTATATATTTCGTAGTCAACGAAATTTTTTTTCGTCGTTGTCGTCGTTGCTGTTGTGATGCGCCCATCTACTAGTGTAGCATCGTATATCTTTTTGCTAGTCTGTGATTAATTTAGTTCGCATTTTTCGTTGGCATTCCATGGATTTTTATTTTAATTGAGTTATGATCATTGTTTCGAGTGTCATGAAATAAAATACGCCTTCACTTTGGCATCTAAATACAAAAAGACAAATTATTATTGCTTCTGTTCTCTTGAATCAAACTGGCTGTATCTCTCTCTCTCTCTCTCTCTCTCTCTCTCTCTCTCTCTCTCTCTCTCTCTCTGTCTCTCAATGCTCGGTCGTGTGCAATGACGATTGCTCTCTCTCTCTTCCTCTCTCTGTGTATGGATGTGTTGGTGCGTTAAAGTATCGTGATTACGATCACATCTTCAGCGCAGGCAAGCAATCGAGCACAAATGTTACCGCATACACTCATACACCGTTGCAACGACCTATCTCTTGGTCGAACGCTCTGGAGTAACAGCAAAAGTAGCTGAGTAGCAGCAGCAACAAAAAGCACACAGTCACACAGACATGGTTCAGCATTTGTGTCGGCTAACACTCACATCCAATACATTTACTATTTTCGCTTAAAAGTGATTCTTATTTTATTTTCGTGTGTTGCTCTCTCGTGTATTTCTGTCTTCTTTAGCTGGTGTGTTCACACACGCCCGATCCCCGCACAATGAGAATATAAATGGGTATAAAGAATATCGAGTGTGCGACGCAGACAAACGCAGAGAGTGTCTCATCTCTCTGGCCGTTCAATTGAACGGCGGCAATATAATATACCGACATCGTGAATAATATATGTGTGCACTGTGTGCACACAGGTCTTGAGCGAGTGAAGCGAACGACAGAGAGAGAGAGAGAGAGAGAGAGAGAAAGAGCGAGACACTGTTGAGCAGTGAGCAGCACCCAAATGCGATGAAAATTGTCTGTCTGCTTGTCGGTTTGGGCATGTGTGTATGTGTCTGTGTTGTGTCTCTTTGGTTTTCCATAGACCGCGACCGTTTGTCGGAAGGCAATGAGAATACTGGCATACACACACATACAGACACACGGATACTGCAGATGCAACAGATTTTCAGGCGAATGTTTTTTCCCGAATGATGTGTGGATATACGCCGACATCAGCTAGAAAACATTTACACTGATTTTTCATTGTGTATACAGACATTTCTTGTTTTTGAGTGTCTCTGCCTTTTGCTTTGGTCTCTCGCCCAATTCGCGCTAGAACGCCTTGTATTTGTTTATGATTTTTTTCCCTTCTTGTTCTTCTCATCAATTCCCCTGGATTTATTCGTGTGTCCTTCTCTTGTTCTTCAGTCGTCAATCATGTTATAATATTCGGGTTTGATATGTGTCATGTTTGATGTTGTTTTTTTCCCTTCTTTTCAGTCAATTTTTTTAATCATTTATCAAATTTGCATACATCATATTCAATTGGAATTCAAACTGGAATTAAATGCCTGTACTGCACCCGAGCACCCGAATGCAACACACAAATTTCATTTGTACTCGCGGTGCATTCGTGGCGCGGTGTGACGCAAACAACGTTAAAAATCAATTCAAACATTGAACTTCAGAGCAGAGCGGAACGAAATCAAATAATGTGTGCTGTGGTGTTTTGACTACACGGAATTTTGGAGCGAACAAGCAAGCAAAAGCAAGAAACGTAAATTGTATACAAAATTCTGTTTTTTTTTCTGTCTCCTTCGCTCGCATGTATATATTCTTCGAAATGAATTTTAAGCACTAACCTTGTCCAAACATTTCAACTCTTCGATCGGATAAACAATCTTCGTACACCGTGCGCAATTTTTATTCATCTTGACTCAGTTTGCGTTGTATTCCTTTTGGTTCCAATTAATCGATAGCTGATATCCAATGTGTGAAATTTAATTTTTATCGACGAATTTTATTTTATTCTTTTGCACAAACACACACGAACACACGCAGCAGCTTGCGTCTATCGGTATAGATATACTTTTAGCGAATTTTTTGCAGCTGCTCTATAGCTTAATTAAATATTTTTCATTCGAGAATTTCAACACACATTTGTAATATTTGCCGCACTTTCGAAATCGATTCCGCTGTATTTGGTTCCTAGAAGATCACCACACGCACAAACACTGTAATTCTGTGAATTTTCGGTTTTTGAGAAGATTCTATGCGCCGCAGAATGAACACAAACGTCTTGAATAAAACAAAATTTTGGTTGGTGGCGTACGATAAAACTGATTGTCGGTTTTACTCTGGGTGTACGATCCTCCTTTTTACACTTTGCCAAACTGAATGGATACGGTTTTTTTTCTCTTCTCTTGTTGTGTTGTCTTTGGGTGAATTTTTTTCTGCTGCTGCAGCCAGAGAGCCGTTTGGAATTACACCGTGTGTAAGCAAGAGAGAGAAAATCAACAAGGCACGTCTATCGGCTAACTTTGATACGGAAACGATACTCACTAAACACAACTTGATGACGGATTAAACACGAATGAGGTATACACTGAATGCCGCTTAACTGTAGCCAAATAGTTTTTGTGCTATTCCCAGTCTTGTTGTTGTTGTTGTTGCGGCTTCTTTCTTACACTCCGTGTACACACATATATTCTCTCTCGTGCGCGTTGTGTTTATTCGGTTGTTGTTGTGTGCTGTGATGCGTGTGTATGGCTTTTTTTTCTACTGTTGTTGTTGTGTTCATTGGTGTTTGTGTGTCTGTGTATCCGTAAAAGAGTGCGAACGACATAAGTTCCAGTTCCAGTCACTTAAGCTCAATAGATGATGGCGCATCGAGTTCACTTTTTATCGTGCGCGCCTTTGATTCGATTCATCGAATTGGTGGGGTTCTTTTTCTACACTATTTATATTACAAGAAGAAAAGAAAATAAAATGAAAGAAAAACACCGGATCGCATGCATTTTGGGAAGCAGATCACTTACTTCTTCTCATCGGATGAATGGTCTCTGAAGAGCCGCATTTGAGTTTGCCAACACTCTGATATTCGTACGATAGATGGAAGCACGTACATTGTATCAATAGGTTATACGCGGCCAATATTTGTTCATTTCGTTTCAATTGGTTTTATCGTAATAAATATGTTCTTCATTCAATATGGTTGCAATTTTATCGCATATTTACCATTTTTCATTAGAAATGAAACCACAATAGAATCATATAAATTCGAAAATATCATCACTTCATTTGTATCGAATGAGTCTCCCTTTTTACATCTTTGGGTTCTTTGCATTCGCTAAAGTTTTATGTGCTTTTGAACGGTTGTTATCTCGGCTAAATGTTTTGATCACAACTGAACTTGAGTTTTCCATCTTTTTTATTCTCTCCGTTCAAACGAACATCATAAAAATATAATTTGAATAATTCAAATGAAGAAAATCTCAATTTATATTGATCATTTAAATCAATAACCAACCCAGATCCGTCTTATGTGTTCCCTTTGTTTAACTTTCCTATTTAGTAGGTGAAACAATGAGCGCACCCAGCGGAAATTGTTTAAATGAACGCATCTCTCACAAATACGCTTGATTCGTACATTAAAACGTTCGTTCGTTGGTTCGTTCGTTTGTTGGTGGTGGATAGAATTTCCTTTCTCTCGCACAACTGAAATTTTCCCGAACCGTTCAGTATTTTATATATGCATGGGGCATGAAAAACCATTCAGTTTTTCTTTGCCGCGATTCAGTTCGTTGTGGATTTTCATTCGGTAAACAATTTGTTCACAGTTGTAGTTCGTGTGCGCTTAGATTGAAACATACTAAAAAAAAACAGCACACACAACATTGACAGTGTTATAAGACGTAAATGTTTCGAACATTTTGTTTATTTTTAATTTCATAATAATCTTTTTCTTTCCTCCTTCTTGTGCAACGATTTTTCCTTTCATTGTCGTCTAAATCAATTTATGTGAAAAAGAAGGAAACAATTTGGACACCAAAATAAAAAAAAAGAGACTTGAATTATAAATCGTAAAACAAAATATCGTTAATTTTGGTCCAAAAACAGAAGAAAAAAATATCATAAACTCAACAAAGACAGAATCGAATGGAATAAAATAGAGAACGAATCAAAATATTAATCATATAAAATTCGTAAGTGATTCAACGAATTTAAATTTGCTTTTTTTGCGATTTTTTTTTTCAAAATGTTTTGAAGAATATTTTTTACAAGACCAAATATTGATGGATTTCTGTTGAAGGAATTTCCAGTTTACATTCTTGAAAAAAAAAATCATTTCATTTGACCGTAGTTGATACCCAAAAATCGATCTTTTGTTATGAGTTGTCCTAAATTGTGTTCATAGCAAAATTACATTTGAATAATTGAAGAAAAATTTGAAAAAAAATATTTTTCGTTAAAAGAAGATAAAAAACGCCACCTCCAACAAAGAAACAAATGGCCTAGAAAGAGAAAACAGTTAATAGTGAATTGAATTTTGAGTTCATCTTCAAGAAACTTGAAATAAATATATCAAATTTCTTCAAAGCCAAGCAAACAAATAAAAAAAACGAAAAACAAACAATCAACAGCAGAAAAAAAATATGCCAAAGTCTCATTGAAAAGTACATTGAATAAGGTCGATCAATTTTGTCCTTTAAAATGTTTATTTTCATTTCTATCGAAAGTGACAGTATGAATAGAGATATATGTTTCGTATATGATTTTGATTGAGTAACTGTGCATTTCCAACTGACAAAAAAAATAATTTTGTTTTTGATTTTTTTGTTGTTGATTCGTCTCAATTTTCTGTTTCATTCGTTTCGTGTGTGTGTTGTTTCTGTTTCATTTGCGAGCTGTATGAACATGCGATATGACGAAATTTAGCACTGATATACGATGTTCAAATGTATGATTAAAGGATAATCGGAAGTTTTAAAGGTTAGTTGTACAAAATACAATGCCCAAATATGGCATAAACCGAACAACAACAATAACAGGAAGAGAAAAAAAGGAATGATGAAGAACATCGAGTAACAACAACAATTATACACAATACACCGAAATTAGTGTAGAGGTTATAGAGGTAGAAGGTTCAAGCTACGTGCATATAGTCAAATCGAAATCGTGCTAGTTAAGGTTATATAAAATCATGAACAGGACCATTAAACTTGCAAATATGCATACGTCTATTTTACATAGTTTAGCTGCTAAAGCAATTGCAATTTTTTTCGGCTACCGTTTTTCATTCGTTACCTCGAATTGATATTTTATATCGTCTGTTTTTTTTTTGCTCCTTGTGACATAAACACACAAACACACGCGCGCAAATACGGCAGCATAGAACAAGGTAGAAAAAGAAGAAGAAAAAAAAATGAAAATAATTTGAATTGCATACAAACAAACATAAATGAAACGAGTAGAACGGCAAAAAAACAATAATAAAAGCAACAACAACAGCAGCAGCAACGATGACGGCAAACTGAAACCGTACCATCAAGGATGTTTTGTAATGCTTGTATTGCAATTTTCGATACTATTCCTGTAATTGTGTTATTCGATGGTGCATGCATGATTCGCATGCCGTGTACATGTACACACAACGCCAGCCAGCCAGTCAGCCAGGCGATCGCATGCATTATGAATTGATGGTGCTTACAAGTACCTTACTCAGCGTAGCGGTGTCTAAAAATGAATGTGCGGTGTCTAAGGGCAGAGATCATTTCCGATTTTCGGCCGAGAGATAGTGTCAGAGCGAGGAGCGTGTATGAAGAAAAACCCAAAATAGAGGAGCGCGTCTTGAATAAAAGCGCTTTTTCAAGTGGACGAAAAATGGATACAATTTGAATATGTACAGAGAATTTTCGCCGCTGCTCTTTTTTTCTCTTTCGTTCACGGTCCCTCTGTTCAGAATTCGGCTCTCAGCTACATAAGTAAGATGCATTGCTCATTGTAAGCCGTCGGTGTATCGCCATAAATGGATGCTGCTGCTGTTGCTGCTGTTGCTGCTTCTGCTTCCCAAGCAAATGAATTCTCATATGTATATCCTCATTGATTATGTGCACGTTAGTCAGTGCACGGGGGAAAAAAAAGTAATTCGTCGAGATTAACTACAGATTCCTTCCGAGCGAATTCCTTTTCATTTTCGGATAGTTTCCATTAACTAATGCACATATTCAATGCAAAACTACAAACTTTTGCAACGTTTATCCACTCGTTGATGATTTAATTTAAATTTAAATGAAGCACTCACCTTTTATGCTTTCATCTAAACAAGATTATAACAAATTTTTAATTGCTTTGATTAAAGTAGTGACAGTTTTATTAACATATTTCAATTGTGCACGCCGTTCGCATAGACTGGTGTATTTCTATCTATTTCGATATGCATTGCCCGTACTCTCCTGGAAACGTCAGCCGCAGTCAGCAACAGCAACAATGGCATCATAATGAACAACGACATCATCAAGTGTTTTGTGTTCGAGAAGAAGGGTCAGAGCAAAATAATACACCAACAACAAAAACATAATCATCGGCCAACACAAAACAAAAACAATTTTCAACGGTCGGTGATGTGTTGCCGGAAAGTTTATTTGTTGTCAAAGTCGAAAGAAGAATGGTGGCCATTTCAATATATCTATGGTGTGATGGCATGCATAGTTGCTGGTTGCCTCCGCTGCTGTTGCTATTGCTGCGGCTGCTGGTCGTGCTGCAACAGGAATTCAAATGTTGTGATTATGTGTGTCATAACTCGATGTATCGTGTGATAAATATAGTTGAGAACAAAAGCAAATAGCACTCTCTCATGCTTCGGGCATGTACTGACCTTTTCTTATCACATACGTACCCAACAACACATTATATATAAAATTATGGAAAATAATTTTGCCCATTGGCCGCACATTGTATTTTATCACTTTCGTTGTATTCCATTTAACATTTTGCTTGGCCAATACACACACCAAAACCAACCAGCAGCACTAGTCATCAATTGGTTTTTCAAATATAAATGAATTTTTCATGATGAAACAAAATATACAGCGAACCAAACAATTCTAATGAATACGTGCCCCGACGCTCAAATGGCTTCGTTTCGGCATGCGATATCGACTGATTTTTCGCACTTTTTTGTGTGTGGTTGTTGCATTGCAATGAATGCATGGGCTAGTTTTGTTTACGGAGGGGGGAAAAGAGCAACATTTTTCTCTTTCGGCGCAGTAAGAGAATCCAGTTCGTTGTCCTTTGGGTTGGAAATCAGAAGATTTTCGTTCTCTAGCTTGCTCGCTCGCTTTCCCTGGCTATCCCCGGAGAATTGGCAAAACATACAGTTAAGTTAATTCCAACTCAGCTGCATGTTTGCCGTTGGAATGTTCGACATTGTATTGACAGCGGCGCCATTTCAGAGACAACATTTGGAACAACGAACATACACCAAAACAAAATAAAATAAAGATATAACATGCGACATATATAGACAAATGCCGACAATAATCTGTCGAAAATTTCGTTGACTGTTTTTTTATTCTTATTCTTCTCTTTCGCCTTCTTCATTCGACAATTCAAAAAGCAATAACTGTAATCATATGAGTCAGACTCTCACAGTAATCAATGCATGCCTTGGATTGGTTCACTCAAGTGATCAGTGGAAAATGAAAATATGATTTGAGTAAACATGAAATTGCGTCGCTCATACTTGCAGAGTTCCACACGGTACTTGAGCGAATGTGCGCCGACGAATATCGGTGCGACATTTACTAACAAAAATAAAACGAAAATGGAGAACAACCATACCGCAATGACATTTTAAGTACCTGCCTAAAATTTTACACATCATCTCACATCAAACATGTTTATTTCGGAATATTTTAATTACCAAAATATCTTAATCCTTGCAATAAGCTCTTATAATATTCAGCGGGTGGTAAATGTCTTTGCCGTTTCATGGTATTCTGTACATACGGCATTTTTTGTCTCTATTTTTGTAGCTTTCATGGTGGTGTCCCGTTCATTTCGTTCCATCGATCGCTGGTTTTTCGTCAAATGTGGAAACAGAATGCCCATTTCCGCCATTTGACATCTATTTCCGAGATATTTTCGTGTTTCGGCTTTTATCAGATTTTGACATAGGGCGCGCACAAGGTTAGAACGATATTCGTTTTAGTTCTTGTGCAAGTCAAAGCTCAATTTGTGTATGTGTCTGTGTGTTACTTTTCGTGTATATTTTTATTTGCTTTCAAAGTGCACTTTGTTAGGAATTTTTTGTCCATTCGCTTTCACTCATTCCCTCTATGTGTGTGTTTCAACGTTTTTAAAAGCAGAAGAAGAAATAATAATACCGGGAGGGAGAGAGGCGAGTCTGTTTGAGTGAATACGGACTGTTAATTGTTCAACTCAGCTATTAGTGTAAACATAGAAAGAGAGAGAGAGAGAGAGAGAGAGAGCCATGGGCAACGTCCTTTTCATCCAATTTCTTATTTTCTTTGGCTACAAATGGCGATGTAGTGCTCACGACTGACCCAATCAACAAAAAGTGTGTTAGTGTGTGTACGAGAGGAACAAAAAAGCACAATGAAATGACTATACATTAACATTGTTGCAATGAGAAGAAAAGAGAAGAAGTACCATCATTTCTGTTCATGTTCGGCCCTTAAGTATCTCCAGAAAGTTGTAACTTAAAGCGCACAAAAAGGCAACTTTTTGCTTCTCGCGGGCACATTTCGCAATTGAAATTGGAATAGAAAAAAGAGCGAGCGCAGAAGAAGAAGAAGAAGAAGAAGAAAAAAATAACACAAGTCATGATGAATGGAAAATAATATCGAAACAAATGAGCACCAAAACTAGAATATGAACGAGTAATTTATTCATAATTTCAAGTGTTTTTGAAGCACCAGACGTAACAATAATAAGCGGTAGAAAAGACAAGCGTAGAGAAAAAAAATTGAAATGACGTCGACAGGGCAGTCGACAATTGTATGCTTTGTATTGGTACGCCAAATGTCGAATACTTAATGCATTTTCCCGCTCTCTTTCTCTCTTTCTCTCACTCTCGCTCTGTTTGCTCGCTATTCGCTTTATCGACTTTTATCCTCATAAGATTTTGATTCATATGCCATTCACATAAATATTTTCACTCGAAATCAGCGCCAGTGCTCAT